CCTCCGGTCCAGTCAGCAGCTCCCTCGTCTCCAGGCCAAAGGACCGAACCCACAGCCCATCCAACAGAGCTCGCCGGTCTCCGAGCTGAGCTGGTCTGACTCCGTCAGATTTTCAGTCTCCAGGAGCTCCTGGTGGACAATCTAACCTCCCTGCTTTTCCAGTTACCGGCTCCACCAGGTCCTGCGCCACCAGTCCAGTCTGCGCCAGGTCCCGCGCCACCAGTCCAGTCAGCGCCAGGTCCCGCGCCACCAGTCCAGTCTGCGCCAGGTCCCGCGCCACCCGTCCAGTGAGCGCCAGGTCCCGCGCCAGCCGTCCAGTCAGCGCCAGGTCCCGCGGTGGTCCAAGAGGCTCCGTCCCCGGGCCAGCCTGTCCAAGAGGCTCTGCCCCCGGGCCAGCCTGTCCAGTTGTCAGTGCACAGTCCGGCGGCACCAGCCAGGGAATCGGTCCCGTCTGCAGCGGCTCCGCCTCCACTCCAGAAGTTGGCGGCCCCTCCTGCGGCACCTCCACTCCAGAAGTCGGCGGCGCCTCCAGTCCAGAATTCGGCGCCTCCAGTCCAGAAGTCGGCGCCTCCACTCCAGAAGTCGGCGCCTCCAGTCCAGAAGTCGACGCCTCCACTCCAGAAGTCGACAACTCCAGTCGAGAAGTCGACGCCTCCAGTCCAGAAGTTGACGCCTTCAGTCCGGAAGTCGACGCCTCCAGCCCGGAGGTCGACGCCTCCAGCCCGGAGGTCGACGCCTCCAGCCCAGAGGTCGACGCCTCCAGCCCAGACGTCGACGCCCCCAGCCCAGACGTCGACGCCTCCAGCCCAGACGTCGACGCCCCCAGCCCAGATGTCGACATCGCCTCCAGCCCAGGGGTCGACGTCTCCTCCTCCAGCCCAGGGGTCGACGTCTCCTCCTCCAGCCCAGGGGTCGACGTCTCCTCCTCCAGCCCAGAGGTCGGCGACGTCTCCTCCAGCCCAGAAGTCGACGACGTCTCCTCCAGCCCAGAAGTCGACGACGTCTCCATCAGCCCAGAAGTCGACGACGTCTCCTCCAGCCCAGAAGTCGACGACGTCTCCTCCAGCCCAGAAGTCGACGACGTCTCCTCCAGCCCAGAAGTCGACGACGTCTCCTCCAGCCCAGAAGTCGACGACGTCTCCTCCAGCCCAGAAGTCGACGACGTCTCCTCCAGCCCAGAAGTCGACGTCGTCTCCTCCAGCCCAGAAGTCGACGACGTCTCCTCCAGCCCAGAAGTCGACGACGTCTACACCAGCCCAGAAGTCGACGACGTCTCCACCAGCCCAGAAGTCGACGACGTCTCCTCCAGCCCAGAAGTCGACTACGTCTCCTCCAGCGTCTCTACCTGCCGAGTCTACCCCTGCAGTGGCTCTGCCTCCGGTCACCGCCGGTCCTGCCCTCGCCAGGTGCGGAGGGACCACGCCTACAGCCCATCAGACGAAGCTCGCCGGCCTCCAAGTGTAGCTTGACCGGCTCCGTCAACTCATCAGCCTCCAGGAGTTCCAGCTGGACACCCTATCCTCCTCGTATCTCCAGGAGAAGGTTTCTGTCCAGCCAGCGGCCTCGCCTCCGGTCCAGTCAGCAGCTCCCGCGTCTCCAGGCCAAAGGACCGAGCCCACAGCCCATCCAACAGAGCTCGCCGGTCTCCGAGCTGAGCTGGTCCGACTCCGTCAGATTTTCAGTCTCCAGGAGCTCCTGGTGGACAATCTAACCTCCCTGCTTTTCCAGTTACCGGCTCCACCAGGTCCTGCGCCACCAGTCCAGTCTGCGCCAGGTCCCGCGCCACCAGTCCAGTCAGCGCCAGGTCCCGCGCCACCAGTCCAGTCAGCGCCAGGTCCCGCGCCACCAGTCCAGTCAGCGCCAGGTCCCGCGCCACCCGTCCAGTCAGCGCCAGGTCCCGCGCCACCCGTCCAGTCAGCGCCAGGTCCCGCGCCACCCGTCCAGTCAGCGCCAGGTTCCGCGCCACCCGTCCAGTCAGCGCCAGGTCCCGCGCCACCCTTCCAGTCAGTGCCAGGTCCCGCGGTGGTCCAATAGGCTCCGCCCCCGGGCCAGCCTGTCCAAGAGTCTCCGCCCCGGAGCCAGCCTGTCCAAGAGGCTCCGTCCCCGGGCCAGCCTGTCCAAGAGGCTCTGCCCCCGGGCCAGCCGGTCCAGTTGTCAGCGCACAGTCCGGCGGCACCAGCCAAGGAAGCGGTCCCGTCTGCAGCGGTTCCGCCTCGACTCCAGAAGTTGGCGGCCCCTCCTGCGGCGCCTCCACTCCAGAAATCGGCGGCGCCTTCAGTCCAGAAGTCGATGCCTCCAGTCCAGAAGTCGATGCCTCCAGTCAGGAAGTCGGCGCCTCCAGTCAGGAAGTCGGCGCCTCCAGTCCAGAAGTCGATGACTCCAGTCAGGAAGTCGGCGCCTCCAGTCAGGAAGTCGGCGCCTCCAGTCCAGAAGTCGACGCCTCCAGTCCAAAAGTCGACGCCTCCAGCCCGGAGGTCGATGCCTCCAGCCCAGATGTCAATGCCCCCAGCCCAGGGGTCGACGTCGCCTCCAGCCCAGGGGTCGACGTCTCCTCCTCCAGCCCAGAGGTCGGCGACGTCTCCTCCTCCAGCCCAGAGGTCGGCGACGTCTCCTCCAGCCCAGAAGTCGACGACGTCTCCTCCAGCCCAGAAGTCGACGACGTCTCCTCCTGCCCAGAAGTCGACGACGTCTCCTCCAGCCCAGAAGTCGACGACGTCTCCTCCAGCCCAGAAGTCGACGACGTCTCCTCCAGCCCAGAAGTCGACGACGTCTCCTCCAGCCCAGAAGTCGACGACGTCTCCACCTGCCCAGAAGTCGACGACGTCTCCTCCAGCGTCTCTACCTGCCGAGTCTACCCCTGCAGCGGCTCTGCCTCCGGTCACCGCCGGTCCTGCCCTCGCCAGGTGTGGAGGGGCCACGCCTACAGCCCATCAGACGGAGCTCGCCGGCCTCCAAGTGGAGCTTGACCGGCTCCGTCAACTCATCAGCCTCCAGGAGTTCCAGCTGGACACCCTATCCTCCTCGTATCTCCAGGAGAAGGTTTCTGTCCAGCCAGCGGCTCCGCCTCCGGTCCAGTCAGCAGCTCCCTCGTCTCCAGGCCAAAGGACCGAACCCACAGCCCATCCAACAGAGCTCGCCGGTCTCCGAGCTGAGCTGGTCTGACTCCGTCAGATTTTCAGTCTCCAGGAGCTCCTGGTGGACAATCTAACCTCCCTGCTTTTCCAGTTACCGGCTCCACCAGGTCCTGCGCCACCAGTCCAGTCTGCGCCAGGTCCCGCGCCACCAGTCCAGTCAGCGCCAGGTCCCGCGCCACCAGTCCAGTCTGCGCCAGGTCCCGCGCCACCAGTCCAGTCAGCGCTAGGTCCCGCTCCACCCGTCCAGTGAGCGCCAGGTCCCGCGCCAGCCGTCCAGTCAGCGCCAGGTCCCGCGGTGGTCCAAGAGGCTCCGTCCCCGGGCCAGCCTGTCCAAGAGGCTCTGCCCCCGGGCCAGCCTGTCCAGTTGTCAGTGCACAGTCCGGCGGCACCAGCCAGGGAAGCGGTCCCGTCTGCAGCGGCTCCGCCTCCACTCCAGAAGTTGGCGGCCCCTCCTGCGGCACCTCCACTCCAGAAGTCGGCGGCGCCTCCAGTCCAGAAGTCGGCGCCTCCAGTCCAGAAGTCGGCGCCTCCAGTCCAGAAGTCGGCGCCTCCACTCCAGAAGTCGACGCCTCCAGTCCAGAAGTCGACGCCTCCAGTCCGGAAGTTGACGCCTTCAGTCCGGAAGTTGACGCCTTCAGTCCGGAAGTCGACGCCTCCAGCCCGGAGGTCGACGCCTCCAGCCCAGAGGTCGACGCCTCCGGCCCAGACGTCGACGCCCCCAGCCCAGACGTCGACGCCTCCAGCCCAGACGTCGACGCCCCCAGCCCAGACGTCGACGCCCCCAGCCCAGACGTCGACGTCGCCTCCAGCCCAAGGGTCAACGTCTCCTCCTCCAGCTCAGAGTTCAACTCCTCCTCCTCCAGCCCAGAGGTCGGCGACGTCTCCTCCAGCCCAGAAGTCGACGACGTCTCCTCCAGCTAAGAAGTCGACGACGTCTCCCCCAGCCCAGAAGTCGACAACGTCTCCTCCAGCCCAGAAGTCGACGTTGTCTCCTCCAGCCCAGAAGTCGACGACGTCTCCTCCAGCCCAGAAGTCGACGACGTCTCCACCAGCCCAGAAGTCGACGACGTCTCCACCAGCCCAGAAGTCGACGACGTCCCCACCAGCCCAGAAGTCGACGAAGTCGACGAAGTCTCCTCCAGTCCAGAAGTCGACGACGTCTCCTCCAGTCCAGAAGTCGACGACGTCTCCTCCAGTCCAGAAGTCGACGACGTCTCCTCCAGCGTCTCTACCTGCCGAATCTACCCCTGCAGCGGCTCTGCCTCCGGTCACCGCCGGTCCTGCCCTCGCCAGGCGCGAGCCTCCCAGAGCCCACCGCCGTCTCCTCCTCTGCCCCAGACGCAGGCCCCCCCAGAGCCTGTCACCGTCTCCTCCTCTGCCCCAGACGCAGGCCCCCCAGAGCCCGTTGTCGTCTCCTCCTCTGTCCCAGACGTAGGCCCCTCAGAGCCCGTCGCCGTCTCCTCCTCTGCCCCAGACGCAGGCCCCTGGACTCTACTGGTCCCTGCCTCTTCTCCACCAGTCCCTCGGTTCCTCTCGACCCTCCTTCCTGGTCCCCCTCCTCCCGCCCTGCTCTGTGTTCCTGTGGGCGTCTGGAATCCGCTCTCTGGGGGGGTGGGGGTGCTTTTATTGTGGGCAGTATAAGGTACACCTGTGCACTACTTATGATGTCGGATCAGCATCTTGATGTGGCATACCTGTGAGGTGGGATGGATTATGTCACACCCTGTCCTGTCTCCCCATTCTGTTCAGTCATGTGTCTCTGTTAATTGCTCCCACCTACCTCTCTTTTTCCAATCACCCAAGCTCCCAGCCCTCATGTATTTAAACCCTCTCAGTTCTGTGTCTTTTGACGGTTTATTGTTTCAGTGTCCAGCGCGTTTTTATATTAAACTTTACTAAACGTTCGTGTCTATATGCCTGCCTTCCTCACCCGCATGTGGATCCTCACCTCCGCTTCACTCACCAGCATGCCGTGACAGATTATCTCAGCAATGCAGAAGTGCTCACTATCACACATTTAGATTGATTTGTGAACAATGTTTGAGAAAGATGGTAATATTGTGTATCTGGAATGTATTTTAGATCTTTATGTCCATCTCATGGAAAATCGGAGCAGAAACAAAGGTGTTGCGTTTATATTTTTGTTGAGTGTATGTGTAAATGCGGTGTTGGTCAGAACTTCAGAATCTCGGAAAGCGGCGTCTCTGGATGAAAAAGAATTTGGTTTGTTCTAAACTATGATGTTATCTTCAGAAGCACATTCAGACGCAATCTCTGTGTTCTACCTCACCCTTTTGATGACCTTCGTCACGGATTCGGAGGTTAGAGAGGCAGGATGACCTCTGGGCACCCAGGTCCGGTAGATTGACTGCGAGCACCGACTTCTCCGGTCCAAAAGATATCACCACGCAGCACAGGTTGGAATCAGCTTGCGTCTCAGGAATAACTCTTAAGGAGTTGAACAATATCAGCTTTGTTCTGCATGAACTGTTTGCTGTCTCAGCTTTGTAGGTGCAAAAAGGTTTTGATGATGTGTCAAAATCTTTGATTATTAAAGAGATATGCTAAAGATGGCCGGTCTGAAGCTTTCTCTAGAACTGGCAAATCACTCAAAGTGATTTAGTTTTAAAGAATTTATGTTATGATTTTCACAGTCAATCAGAGGCTGACAGGAAAGATGTTACCAAGACAACTCAGAAACACGCCTTCTTTAATATGGAAGTCCTGGCTGGTAAAGAAAACAAGTTATGTGTTGTAGTCTAACTTAACCGTACTTGTTATTGTGGATGTGCAGGTGTGAGGACCTTGTCGTCAAAACATCTGAGGAGACAGAAAAATGGGAACGGTGCGGTAAAGTTATGAGGAAAAACAGTTCAGAAGTTAACCTTTCTACCTATTACTTACCTAAAAATGTTTTTGTGTAACAGATGATGCATTCTGGATAATTGGAGTGTCGAGAAAACCGGATGACTTTTGAACGTTTTGGTGAGTAGGCAGTTTTAAGACCGCTAACGGACTAGCAGCAAAAGCTTATCTTAAAGTGAAACTGAGTTGGAAAAAACTTATTTATGTGCTAAAACGTTTAAGTACCAGTTCACTGACAGTATGTTGAAAATGTATTGGTTTTAATCACTAGTATGAAGCTAGTCTGGTGACATTGAGGGGGGGGGGAACCTTGCCACGCAGTCGTGTCCGCAAGTTATTTTTCCCCCTCAAATGTCACCAGACAGGCACCATAATAGGAGTTTTCCATTTGCTGTAACATTTTTTTCTTTGCCAAATAACCTCCACTTTGTACAGCGATACTGCTAAAAGATGGTGATGAAACCAGAGACCTGATTTGTTTATGAATGGGTAAATTAAATGATTCTGTACTTAATTATTTAAAGAAAACTTCACATCTGTGAAAACACTTTTGTTAAAAACAGATTTACAGCCATGATTTAAGGTTATATTTTTATCTTTTGGGAAGAAATTATTACAAAGAAAAACATTGTAATAAAAATGGATTTTTGGAAAGATTTATTGTGCTCAATAGTAATCTTTGACATGCTATATACAGGGTACATGTGCTATATATGACTATCAAAGGTATTGGCCAGACTCAGCATTAAAATTGTAAAAATTCAGTGTAACTATACTTTACCAATTATATAAATATGAACTTGGTTCAGTTTTTCATTTTGTTAAAGAGCAAGTCACCCTCAAATCAACTTTTTTGCTATTAAACTATATAAATGAGTCTCTAATCGTTAGAGGTATAACAGTACGCTAAAATCGTATCCAATTCGGATCAGTGTTTTGAAGAGCTCAGTTCAAATCGTTTTCTGTATATTATTATATTTATTTATTTTTTGTCTGAAGCGGCTTCTGTAGTGAGCAGAACCAGGTGTCCTCACAAGCTGCTGATCTAGTAAGATGTCTTTAAATATTTCACAGTTTATTTGCGCAGCTATGAGTGTCACTCTCATACGTGTTTGACTGTTGATGCGCCTTGTTTTTATTTCTGCAGTGAGCCTTGAAAACTCACCTCAGACTGCCCACTTTCTTCTTTAAAACTCATATTAGAGGGTATCCGCAGGTCCTTAAAAAGTCTTAAAGTTTTAAATTTGCTTTTTTAAATTTAAGGTCTTAAAAATCATTAGAAATGACAAATAATCCTTAATTACAGTTTCCAAATGTCTTAAATTACCAAAGACCCAATGAACAAGAATTTGTAGTTAGTGTTCAGCATTTTTTGTTTATGATATTGGCATAAGTGGAACTGTACACATTCAGTTGGTTGTGAAAGGGGACTATTTTTAGATGAGCACATTAGCTGGTTAAGCTAGTGGGAGCTTGCACCATGGGGAAGTGCAAGTTTAATGGTAACTGGGTGGGTAATCCCACGTTTGCGACGTGGTTAGCACCAGTGCCAGGCAATAGCTGAAAATTATAGCTTAAATATAATTAAAAAATAGCTTAAATTTGGTCAAAGTGGCCTTAAAAAAGGTCTTAAAAAGCCTTAAATTTGGCTCCCTTAAACCTGCAGATACCCTGTTAAATAACGAGCTTTCTCCGCATCGTATTTTTTGTTGTAGAATGAAAACATTACATCAACTGCCGTGGGGGAAAAGTTCAGTAGACATGTTGTTTACGTTCAGCGTCTCTACTGTCTCCACAGTAGCAGCGACAGCCAGCTGGTTTGATCTGCTCAGAAAGACGTTGATCAGAATTTGCAGATGACCTTTTTTAATCGGAGATCAGGTGCGTGCAACCATCATGCGTCACTCAATACAGCGTCGGTGCGGAAACTCGCCTATGAACTTTGATCTGCTGCACTTAAATCATGCAAACAAAATTTCATTATTTAATGGAAAATGAACCAAAATGGTACGCAAGTGGCCCGAACCGTTAAACCCCTAATATATACATGCAGCTGTAAAATTGGCAGCACATAATTTTGTTTTTTTTCTGTAGATTACTGAATTACACATCAGGACAGTATGATGGAGTTAAGACCTGTAGTCAGCTGAGAGCTCCCGGTGGTACGAGCACAAAAATTAAATATTTAACAAAAGTAAACAAACTGTACCGATTTTGGTTCTTAAGACTAACAGAATCCTTCCCGGTGTCCAAATCGGGTCGCGGGTCTTCTGCGTCAAACGGTCCAACACATGTCTGCATCTCCGTTAGTGATATCCAGCTAGCGGGGTCGGAGTTCGGTTGAACTTCTCCGGTAATCATCCCAGAGAAAAAAACAATCTGACCGACTAGCAGAGGCTTCAGAAGCTACATCTTGACTGATGACACATTGTTCTCAGCTATAACTCTTAACACAGAAACATCGTAGTCAGGTGCTTTTTCTTCAGACCTCCTGTGAAACGTCACCAGCTGTCCAGGGCTTAGACCTGAAGCTAGTTTCTGTTTTTCCCGTGCCAGTCAGAAACATCAGATTTTCTTCAAATTCCAGCCGTGAAAAATCCAAAAACATTTTTCATTGAGGTTTTATACTTTAAACATGCCATTCAAAGGAATTTAGCCTGTGGCCAATATCATTAAGATAGATTTTGAGTACTAGATAGTAAAGCCTCTATTCTGTGGTTAGAAGTCTCCTCGACGAGGGAGTGGAGAGCCGGACCAGAACACATCATCTCCTTTTCCAAGGGTGATGAACGAGATGTACTGAACCTCACTGAGGAAACAGCACCGGCAGGATTCAGCAGTGTGGTAGGACTGACTTTGGGTTGCAATGATTATAAATTTATAAAAAAAATTTGCCCCCTCAGAGTTTTCATGAATGTTAACTAAAACTATTAAACCTTAAAGGGCTTTCTGATCAGTTTATCTCTGCTGTCAAATTGGCATTTTTGACATGTGATTCGATGAGGATTAGCTCTCTTCTGGTGGATGAGGGTGGAAATGCAATTTTTTTTGCCTCTTCCTTGTTGGCTTCACTTTCATACCAGAATTATGGGGGCTGTCGTGGTGGAAATTATTCCATCTAACCACTCCCTGGTTCTTTGGAGGTGACCCTGAAGAGAGATCCACACTTTAAGCTAGGGCTGGGCGATATGGCCTAAAACTAATATCACAATATATTGAGGATTTAACCTCAATAATGTTAAATGGACCATAACTGCAGGTAAGTTGTCCACTAGATGGGGCTGTCACATGTATTATATTTAGTCACATTTTTACGCATCTCAAGGTGGTACAGCTTCTTAAAGGGACATGAATGTTGCCCAGCTACACACATCTTTTCATTTTTTTATTATCAAATTTATTGACATGGGAAAAATGATCTCGATAAGAGTCAGAAATTTCGATAACGATACATTTTCGATTTATTGCCCAGCCCTACTTTAAGCCCATTATAATATGTACACACACAAAGATCTTTGGTTGGCTTCTGGTGAGAAGAACACAAGCAGTTCCCTGCCGATGTATCTTCTAACTTTCGACTCTTCTCGTCAGCCCTTTTATTGAATTGCATGAAATTTTTATTTTTATTTTACAACAGTTCCACAATAGACTGGGGCGTTCCCACTTCACAGTCATACACTACTCCTCCTCATGTGAGCGGTCTTCATGAGTTCACAGTCTAAAGCACCTTCTGACTTTCCCTGACCCTCAACATCCAAGACTTTTTCTAAGACTGAACTTGTGATCTCTGGCTCAGCAACGAGGTCAAAAGTTTTATCAATCAGACACTTCCCCATGACATAACTCGTGATCTTCTTTTGACCACAAGCAGTAAGAGTCAGGCCATTGTTATAGAAACTTTCAACACCAATGTTTTCTGGAACGTTATCTCTGTTAGTCTGCAGCACTTCGACAAAGTTTTATTTCCTTATATATGAAGATTAAATGATTGACCAACACATTCATAACCTGACAGCAATTAGACTGAAGTTGACTATATTAGTTTAAACAGAAAAGGTTATATTGGTTAAGTGTAAAAATGATTATTCTCAAAAAGATTATATTGATTAGCTTTAAAAATGATTATGCTGATTAGGGCTGCAATGATTCCTCGAGTAACTCGAATGATTCGCTGACAAAAAATATTCGAGAATTTTCCGCTGCCTCGGACTCGTTAAATAGACCATAGCTGAATATCCGGCATTGCGCATGGATTCTTTATGTGTTGCGCAACGCGGTTACGTCACAGATTATACGTGCCATGTACTCCACTGCACAGCGCGCAGCGGTCTTTTCGTCTTTTCAGCTGGGTAGCCGACAATGGCAGACGCCATGGAAATAAATGAAAACGAGCAAGACCAAAACGAAGGATATATTAAGCGACAGAAGTTTTCCAAGGCATGGGATCACTTTACATTAAAAAGCAAGGAAAACGCCATTGTATGCAAGCATTGCAAGGTGGAGCTACCACAAAAGCACTTCTTCCATGCTGCTGCACCTCTTAAGAAAGCATCCGACTGAGGGTATGAGTGAACGTGCCGAGATCAGGTAAATAAACTTTTTTTCAGGACGTAAATATTGACTCAGCTGTAGTGTCAATAAAATACATTTATTTTTTATAAGTTAGTTTTAAATTTCTGCCCTAAAATGCATCTGTTAAGTGTATATTTTTAAAATTGGTTTACAAAAAAAAAATCTTTGTGTAGCGGAGGCAAATGTGTATTATTTATTTGATATTCTGTATAAATATACAATATTACCTTACTTGATCTTTATTGTAAATATCAGAAGATTATAGGATTTTTGCTTTATTAAGTAATTATACACACCTCGTTTTGATTCAGAAAAGAGTCAGGTTTATAATTGTAAGAATTTATTTTAGAAACAATTAAAACATGACAAGTGAACTAAGCATTTACTGTGAATGGATGGAGCTAAAGGTGATGTAGGAACCTACACTCAACAAAAATATAAACGCAACACCTTTGTTTCTGCTCCGATTTTTCATGAGATGGACTTAAAGATCTGAAATTCAGTCCAGATACACAATATTACCATTTCTCTCAAACATTGATCACAAATCAGTCTAAATGTATGATAGTGAGCACCTGTGCTTTGCTAAGATAATCCATCCCACCTCACAGGTGTGCCACATCAAGATGCTGATCTGACATCATGAGTAGTGCACAGGTGTACCTTATACTGCCCACAATTAAAGGCCACCCAGGAATGTGCAGTTAATTGCTTTATTGGGGGTCTGGGGACTCAGAACCGGTCAGTATCTGGTGTGACCACCATTTGCCTTATGCAGTGCAACACATCTTCTTCGCATAGAGTTGATCAGATTGTCAATTGTGGCCTGTGGAATGTTGGTCCACTCCTCTTCAATGGTTGTGTGAAGTTGTTGGATATTAGTGGGAACTGGTACACGCTGTCGTATACGCCGGTCAAGCACATCCCAAACATGCTCAATGGGTGACATGTTCGGTGAGTATGCGTGGCCATGCAAGAACTGGGACATTTTCAGCTTCCAAGAATTGTGTACAGATCCTTGCAACATGGGGCCGTGCATTATCTTGCTGAAACATGAGGTAATGTTCATGGATGTACGGCACAACAATGGGCCTCAGGATCTCATCACGGTATCTCTGTGCATTCAAAATGCCATCAATAAAATGCACCTGTGTTCTTCGTCCATAACAGATGCCTGTCCATTAGGGATGAGTACCGAATTCGGTACTTTTTAAGGTACCGACCGAATTCCATAGTACCGACCGAACACCGATTCACGTCATTTCAAACGGTGCCTCGTTTCGGTACTGCCAAGACAGTTGCGCATGCGCAAGAGCGTTATGTTGCCGGTCCCTGCGAGCCCGTTGTAAACAGAGCAAGCATGGTAGAAAGAATGCACGCTAAAGCTTGGGTCCACTTCACTAAATGTGATGGGTAACTGGGTGATGAAACTAGCGACAGACAACGATCTAAGTGAGACATCCTCATCTTAATCTGCTCGTAGGTAAATAAAATGTTTAAGATAATGTTACCTTGATTTGTTAGCTTCCGTTTCGCTAATGGAGCGTTCGCTTTCTCCTCGGAACTCCGAATTTCCGACTAGAAGAACATGAACGCGCTCTAAAGTTTGGCTTTACTTTACTAAATGCGACGGGTGAATGGATGAAGGTAAAACCAGCGACAACGATCTAAGTTTGAGGCATCATCGTTTTAATCTGCTCCAGCAGCTAAATAAACTGTTAAAGATAACGTTAGCTTGATATGTTAGCTTCCATTGCCACCGTTGTTACCAGCTAATGGTGCGTTCGCTTTCTCCTCGGAAATTCTAACTTCCCAGTAGGAAAAATCAAATGAAAAAGGACGGCAAAAGGAATGAAGATACACAGTAAATTTAGTTCACAGTAAAGATGTTTGCTTCAGTTTAATTATCAGCTTATAAAACTACAAGGACGATGTTAAAATACAAACTTGTATGTTATTTATCGTGATATTTATCAAATATGGTTATATATTGAGAAAAATATATATTTAATTATAAAAGAGAATTAAAATAATAAACACTCAAAAGTATCGAAAATTGGTACCGTTAAGTACCGGTATCGACTCGTAGGTACCGGGAATTAGTACCGGATCGATTCAAATGTCAAAGGTACCCATCCCTACTGTCCATACCATAACCCCACCACCACCATTGGCCACTCGATCCACAACATTGACATCAGCAAATTGCTCATCCGCATGACGCCACACACGCTGTCTGCCATCTGCCCTGAACAATGTAAACCGAGATTCAACCGTGAAGACAACACCTCTCCAACATGCCAGACGCCATTCAATGTGAGCATTTGCCCACTCAAGTCTGTCACGGTGACGAGCTGGAGTCAGGTCAAGACCCCGATGGGGACGACGAGCATGCAGTTGAGCTTGCCTGAGACGGTTTCTGATTTAAACCCTCTCAGTTCTTTGTCTTTTGTTGGTTCATTGTTTCAGTGTCCAGCGTGTTTTTATATTAAACTATACTAAACGTTCGTGTCTATCTGCCTGCCTTCCTCACCCACATGTGGATCCTCACCTCCGCTTCACTCACCAGCACGCCGTGACAGAATGAACCAAACTCCTAAAGGATCCAGCGGGGAGGTTCTCCCCTGGGAGTACCTGCTTCAGTTCCTCACCTCAAACCACCGGCCGGCTTCTCCTCCTCCGGCGTCGCCTCGCCGCAGACGCCGCTGCCGAACCCCGGCCTCGGCGATCCTCTCCACCCTCCCGGAGCCAGTTGGGGGGTTGGACTGGGAGACGCAGCTAGACCGCTCCTGCTATGTGGGCACCAGACTGGCAGTGTGCTCCCCCAGAGTTAGCCCACGGTGTTGGGAAGGATGCCGGGCTCCAGCGTCAACCCCTGTCCCAGGACGGAACCACGGGCTCACCGCTACCCCGGCTTGGGACACCAGCTTGGACCCACCCCAGTCAGATCAGCGGCCCCATCTCCGGTCCAGTCAGCACCTCCTTCATCTACAGGCGGAGGGCCCACGCCTACAGCCCATCAGACGGAGCTCACCAGCCTCCAAGTGGAGCTTGACTGGCTCCGTCAACTCATCAGCCTCCAGGAGTTCCAGCTGGACATCCTATCCTCCTCGTATCTCCAGGAGAAGGTTTCTGTCCAGCCAGCGGCCCCACCTCCGGTCCAGTCAGCAGCTCCCTCGTCTCCAGGCCAAAGGACCGAACCCACAGCCCATCCAACAGAGCTCGCCGGTCTCCGAGCTGAGCTGGTCCGACTCCTTCAGATTTTCAGGCTCCAGGAGCTCCTGGTGGACAATCTAACCTCCCTGCTTTTCCAGTTACCGGCTCCACCAGGTCCTGCGCCACCAGTCCAGTCTGCGCCAGGTCCCGCGCCACCAGTCCAGTCTGCGCCAGGTCCCGCGCCACCAGTCGAGTCAGCGCCAGATCCCGCGCCACCAGTCCAGTCAGCGATAGGTCCCGCGTCACCCGTCCAGTCAGCGCCAGGTCCCGCGCCACCCTTCCAGTCAGTGCCAGGTCCCGCGGTGGTCCAATAGGCTCCGCCCCCGGGCCAGCCTGTCCAAGAGTCTCCGCCCCCGGGCCAGCCTGTCCAAGAGTCTCCGCCCCGGAGCCAGCCTGTCCAAGAGGCTCCGTCCCCGGGCCAGCCTGTCCAAGAGGCTCTGCCCCCGGGCCAGCCTGTCCAGTTGTCAGTGCACAGTCCGGCGGCACCAGCCAGGGAAGCGGTCCCGTCTGCAGCTTCTCCGCCTCCACTCCAGAAGTTGGCGGCCCCTCCTGCGGCACCTCCACTCCAGAAGTTGGCGGCGCCTCCAGTCCAGAAGTCGGCGCCTCCAGTCCAGAAGTCGGCGCCTCCACTCCAGAAGTCGGCGCCTCCAGTCCAGAAGTCGACGCCTCCAGTCCAGAAGTCGACAACTCCAGTCGAGAAGTCGACGCCTCCAGTCCAGAAGTTGACGCCTTCAGTCCGGAAGTCGACGCCTCCAGCCCGGAGGTCGACGCCTCCAGCCCGGAGGTCGACGCCTCCAGCCCAGAGGTCGACGCCTCCAGCCCAGACGTCGACGCCCCCAGCCCAGACGTCGACGCCTCCAGCCCAGACGTCGACGCCCCCAGCCCAGACGTCGACGCCCCCAGCCCAGACGTCGACATCGCCTCCCGCCCAGGGGTCGACGTCTCCTCCTCCAGCCCAGGGGTCGACGTCTCCTCCTCCAGCCCAGAGGTCGGCGACGTCTCCTCCTCCAGCCCAGAAGTCGACGACGTCTCCTCCAGCCCAGAAGTCGACGACGTCTCCTCCAGCCCAGAAGTCGACGACGTCTCCTCCAGCCCAGAAGTCGACGACGTCTCCTTCAGCCCAGAAGTCGACGACGTCTCCTCCAGCCCAGAAGTCGACGACGTCTCCTCCAGCCCAGAAGTCGACGACGTCTCCTCCAGCCCAGAAGTCGACGACGTCTCCTCCAGCCCAGAAGTCGACGACGTCTCCTCCAGCCCAGAAGTCGACGTTGTCTCCTCCAGCCCAGAAGTCGACGACGTCTCCTCCAGCCCAGAAGTCGACGACGTCTCCTCCAGCCCAGAAGTCGACGACGTCTACACCAGCCCAGAAGTCGACGACGTCTCCTCCAGCCCAGAAGTCGACTACGTCTCCTCCAGCGTCTCTACCTGCCGAGTCTACCCCTGCAGTGGCTCTGCCTCCGGTCACCGCCGGTCCTGCCCTCGCCAGGTGCGGAGGGACCACGCCTACAGCCCATCAGACGAAGCTCGCCGGCCTCCAAGTGTAGCTTGACCGGCTCCGTCAACTCATCAGCCTCCAGGAGTTCCAGCTGGACACCCTATCCTCCTCGTATCTCCAGGAGAAGGTTTCTGTCCAGCCAGCGGCCCCGCCTCCGGTCCAGTCAGCAGCTCCCGCGTCTCCAGGCCAAAGGACCGAGCCCACAGCCCATCCAACAGAGCTCGCCGGTCTCCGAGCTGAGCTGGTCCGACTCCGTCAGATTTTCAGTCTCCAGGAGCTCCTGGTGGACAATCTAACCTCCCTGCTTTTCCAGTTACCGGCTCCACCAGGTCCTGCGCCACCAGTCCAGTCTGCGCCAGGTCCCGCGCCACCAGTCCAGTCTGCGCCAGGTCCCGCGCCACCAGTCCAGTCAGCGCCAGGTCCCGCTCCACCAGTCCAGTCAGCGCCAGGTCCCGCGCCACCAGTCCAGTCAGCGCCAGGTCCCGTGCCACCCGTCCAGTCAGCGCCAGGTCCCGCGCCACCCGTCCAGTCAGCGCCAGGTCCCGCGCCACCCGTCCAGTCAGCGCCAGGTTCCGCGCCACCCGTCCAGTCAGCGCCAGGTCCCGCGGTGGTCCAAGAGTCTCCGCCCCCGGGCCAGCCTGTCCAAGAGTCTCCGCCCCCGGGCCAGCCTGTCCAGTTGTCAGCGCACAGTCCGGCGGAACCAGCCAGGGGAGCGGTCCCGTCTGCAGCGGCTCCACCTCCACTCCAGAAGTTGGTGGCCCCTCCTGCGGCGCCTCCACTCCAGAAGTCGGCGGCGCCTCCACTCCACAAGTCGGCTGCGCCTCCAGTCCAGAAGTCGACGCCTCCAGTCCAGAAGTCGACGCCTCCAGTCCAGAAGTCGACGCCTCCAGTCCAGAAGTCGACGCCTCCAGTCCAGAAGTCGACGCCTCCAGCCCGGAAGTCGACGCCTCCAGCCCGGAGGTCGACGCCTCCAGCCCAGAGGTCGACGCTTCCAGACCAGACGTCGATGCCTCCAGCCCAGACGTCGACGTCGCCTCCAGCCCAAGGGTCAACGTCTCCTCCTCCAGCTCAGAGTTCAACTCCTCCTCCTCCAGCCCAGAGGTCGGCGACGTCTCCTCCAGCCCAGAAGTCAACGACGTCTCCTCCAGCCCAGAAGTCGACGACGTCTCCTCCAGCCCAGAAGTCGACGACGTCTCCTCCAGCCCAGAAGTCGACGACGTCTCCACCTGCCCAGAAGTCGACGACGTCTCCTCCAGTCCAGAAGTCGACGACGTCTCCTCCAGCGTCTCTACCTGCCGAGTCTACCCCTGCAGCGGCTCTGCCTCCGGTCACCGCCGGTCCTGCCCTCGCCAGGTGCGGAGGGGCCACGCCTACAGCCCATCAGACAGAGCTCGCCGGCCTCCAAGTGGAACTTGACCGGCTCCGTCAACTCATCAGCCTCCAGGAGTTCCAGCTGGACACCCTATCCTCCTCGTATCTCCAGGAGAAGGTTTCTGTCCAGCCAGCGGCTCCGCCTCCGGTCCAGTCAGCAGCTCCCTCGTCTCCAGGCCAAAGGACCGAACCCACAGCCCATCCAACAGAGCTCGCCGGTCTCCGAGCTGAGCTGGTCTGACTCCGTCAGATTTTCAGTCTCCAGGAGCTCCTGGTGGACAATCTAACCTCCCTGCTTTTCCAGTTACCGGCTCCACCAGGTCCTGCGCCACCAGTCCAGTCTGCGCCAGGTCCCGCGCCACCAGTCCAGTCAGCGCCAGGTCCCGCGCCACCAGTCCAGTCTGCGCCAGGTCCCGCGCCACCCGTCCAGTGAGCGCCAGGTCCCGCGCCAGCCGTCCAGTCAGCGCCAGGTCCCGCGGTGGTCGAAGAGGCTCCGTCCCCGGGCCAGCCTGTCCAAGAGGCTCTGCCCCCGGGCCAGCCTGTCCAGTTGTCAGTGCACAGTCCGGCGGCACCAGCCAGGGAAGCGGTCCCGTCTGCAGCGGCTCCGCCTCCACTCCAGAAGTTGGCGGCCCCTCCTGCGGCACCTCCACTCCAGAAGTCGGCGCCTCCAGTCCAGAAGTCGACGCCTCCAGTCCAGAAGTCGACAACTCCAGTCGAGAAGTCGACGCCTCCAGTCCAGAAGTTGACGCCTTCAGTCCGGAAGTCGACGCCTCCAGCCCGGAGGTCGACGCCTCCAGCCCGGAGGTCGACGCCTCCAGCCCAGAGGTCGACGCCTCCAGCCCAGACGTCGACGCCCCCAGCCCAGACGTCGACGCCTCCAGCCCAGACGTCGACGCCCCCAGCCCAGATGTCGAAATCGCCTCCAGCCCAGGGGTCGACGTCTCCTCCTCCAGCCCAGGGGTCGACGTCTCCTCCTCCAGCCCAGGGGTCGACGTCTCCTCCTCCAGCCCAGAGGTCGGCGACGTCTCCTCCAGCCCAGAAGTCGACGACGTCTCCTCCAGCCCAGAAGTCGACGACGTCTCCTCCAGCCCAGAAGTCGACGACGTCTCCTCCAGCCCAGAAGTCGACGACGTCTCCATCAGCCCAGAAGTCGACGACGTCTCCTCCAGCCCAGAAGTCGACGACGTCTCCTCCAGCCCAGAAGTCGACGACGTCTCCTCCAGCCCAGAAGTCGACGACGTCTCCTCCAGCCCAGAAGTCGACGACGTCTCCTCCAGCCCAGAAGTCGACGTCGTCTCCTCCAGCCCAGAAGTCGACGACGTCTCCTCCAGCCCAGAAGTCGACGACGTCTCCTCCAGCCCAGATGTCGACGACGTCTCCTCCAGCCCAGAAGTCGACGACGTCTCCACCTGCCCAGAAGTCGACGACGTCTCCTCCAGCGTCTCTACCTGCCGAGTCTACCCCTGCAGCGGCTCTGCCTCCGGTCACCGCCGGTCCTGCCCTCGCCAGGTGTGGAGGGGCCACGCCTACAGCCCATCAGACGGAGCTCGCCGGCCTCCAAGTGGAGCTTGACCGGCTCCGTCAACTCATCAGCCTCCAGGAGTTCCAGCTGGACACCCTATCCTCCTCGTATCTCCAGGAGAAGGTTTCTGTCCAGCCAGCGGCTCCGCCTCCGGTCCAGTCAGCAGCTCCCTCGTCTCCAGGCCAAAGGACCGAACCCACAGCCCATCCAACAGAGCTCGCCGGTCTCCGAGCTGAGCTGGTCTGACTCCGTCAGATTTTCAGTCTCCAGGAGCTCCTGGTGGACAATCTAACCTCCCTGCTTTTCCAGTTACCGGCTCCACCAGGTCCCGCGCCACCAGTCCAGTCAGCGCCAGGTCCCGCGCCACCAGTCCAGTCAGCGCCAGGTCCCGCGCCACCCGTCCAGTCAGCGCCAGGTCCCGCGCCACCCGTCCAGTCAGCGCCAGGTCCCGCGCCACCCGTCCAGTCAGCGCCAGGTTCCGCGCCACCCGTCCAGTCAGCGCCAGGTCCCGCGCCACCCTTCCAGTCAGTGCCAGGTCCCGCGGTGGTCCAATAGGCTCCGCCCCCGGGCCAGCCTGTCCAAGAGTCTCCGCCCCGGAGCCAGCCTGTCCAAGAGGCTCCGTCCCCGGGCCAGCCTGTCCAAGAGGCTCTGCCCCCGGGCCAGCCGGTCCAGTTGTCAGCGCACAGTCCGGCGGCACCAGCCAAGGAAGCGGTCCCGTCTGCAGCGGTTCCGCCTCGACTCCAGAAGTTGGCGGCCCCTCCTGCGGCGCCTCCACTCCAGAAATCGGCGGCGCCT